CATGGACCCGGCACGTAACGGTACCCCCGTCACAAATTGGAACACATATCTTACTTGTAGTGTGTTGTGACTTCACCAAAACTAAAACTGAAAGATACGATGATTTGCCACTAACAACGACGATCATACACTTCTCTTGGTCAGATGCTAGAATGATGCCGGTGGGCTTCAGCTGTCTCCCAGTGTCCGCATCGCAACGCGGGGATCCTAAAACTTATCGTCTACGTACTGAGGGTGTTCCTGACGACTACCCTCACCTCCCAGCCCTGGCGTCCCTTAGTTTTCTTGAGACATGACTCCAACAATTCCCTAAAGCCACCGAGGTGCAGCCATTGCTACCAAATATTCTGCCGGCCGAAAGTTGTCGATGAACTGTGTTCAGGCTACAGAGTCAAGCCCGAAATCCGCCTATGAGACCATCCGCAGAGGTTCTAAGCTCTCTAGATTCTATCACATGTCGAATCGCCCTGCGCTCAGGGACCGCGCCGTGTGACTACGGCCGAAGCGTTGGACCCCAAGGCGCCGCGCCCAGTGATCCAGGGAGCCGCTAGGCCTCAGAATGCAAGCACCGCAAGCCTGAACTGAAGCTACCTGGAGACTTCTTCTTGGGGGTGGCGATGGCCTCGGCGATGGTGGGGGGTGACGGTGACGCCAGCGGTCATGGTGGCGGTGGTGGCAGTGGTGGTGGGGATGGTGGGGGTCGAGGTGGGGGGGCTGGCGGAGCGAACTTCGTCTAGTATTTATATACTTCTAAAGATGCACACAACCGCCTCACAATTGGCACGCCCCAAACCTACGAGTAGCGATAGCTGGGCTGCTTGCCAGTAGTAATATCACGGTCACGGTGAAAACACAAGCCCCTAGCACTCCAAACAAAAAGCTGCATGCAAGTTGCATATACTCGCGAAGTTCGTGGTGTCGACGGCCTGGGATTTGGCTGTAGCAAGCTTGTGCGGTCGTACGGTTCAAGCCTTACACCAATAAGGTGTTAAAGGTCCTGTAAAACAGGCACACCCAACTCATCCCAACTCTGCTCTTTGAGAACATCACGATCTGGAAGGTCGTCTAGTCAAGCATCCTTGCTCCAGGAACCCACATGTGAGGGAAAGCGCTAGCCACAGAGTCAGGAAGCGTGTGGTAACGGGGCCCTTGCGAGTTCAAACAATCGTGTGACGTGTCACCGGCCTGTATCTCAGCATTGGCAGAAACGGGGTCATCTAGGGCTAGAGATAATGGAAAATGGAAACTACGAAAAGTATATTGCGGTTATATAGGGAAGCGCCTGGCGCCATGATAGCTGCTATGAGCAGTGCAAACCAGATGAAAGACAAGGAATGCCATCCAAGGAGTTCATGAATTTCTGTTAACTTGCAAGGCACCCGACTGGAAGGTCTTAACTTACTACGTCTGCACTAAGGTTAATTATGATGTACTGATTGTGTGTATGGCTTTTTGATAACCAAATTCTACCCGGGATGAGCACACCAGCCTCTATGAAACCAGGACGCCAAGAAACTTGAGATGCACGTTGTTTTTAGCCTGCCTTCGCGAAGGTTGAAATTTCACCATGATAATGTGCTTCCCGCAAACTCCTATGCTGTCCTGTTATCCTGCATCAGGTTTAAGGCATCCAGGCTAGGTTTCCAAATCACATCGTAGTGGGACTGCTTGGATTGTATCATACAGACAGAACGCAAATGCGACCGGATCGGAACGACTTTTATACCCAAGAGGATACAGTTCCAAAAGCATACAGGTCGGTGCCAACGCCTTTGATTCAAGGCCTGGCGGGAAAGCCTCGCGAGTGTTGCGAGTGTCGCTGTACTACCTTGAAACGGGCGCATGCCCTCACGAACACTTCCATGGATACGCCTTCGCCGAGATCACCTTTCCATGTTCAAATGCGCTCGGCAGGTGGCCCACAGCAATTTCGCGGTGCAGAACGACCGAGCAATATAGAATGAAAAGCACATGTGGGCACGGAAATTGCAAGCCAGCCTGATTGCTGCAGTAGACAATGACCTCCTGTCCATCACCCGGGTCGAACTCGATGGAGTCGTAGCCTTCGCTGAAGAGTCGCACAGTGTTCGAAGTCATCTGTTGATTGTCTTGTCTGACCAGAACGACAACAACTACTACCACGCACGTGTCACTCTAAGGCTCACCTCAAACCCCACATCTTGCAGTGAAAGGGCCAGCTGAGAGCAGGTTCCTGCCATGGAGGTTCTGCCCGCCAACCCTAAGTTTCCAACAGTACTTCTGGGATGAATGGGAGTGGTTCAGGATGGTCACAAAGCTTCCACGAATTGCACGCAGGAGTTTGCTTGCATAACCCCGTGTCAGCATTTAGATCATCCGTGTTTGAAAGCCAGAAACGGCTCCTAGCAGCCACAACAAGAACAAACAGTGACTTCAAGAAAATCAGCATCAAGCACACATATGACAAGCGAGTCTTACAGGTTGGCACAGGATGTAAATCTGGCCTGAAGAAATCCCAAACAGCAGCTTCGGGATCTTTGTACATCGGGGCTGGGTGTGGAACCGCTGAAATTCCCCAGGTGTCAGCCCGGCTCCTGCATAGAGTGAATGGCCATTTCAGCTACTCAGGTACTCTCCTATTTGCAGACATTCCTGGATGCCCTTTAAAGATAACGCATCCGGTCCTAGGGTACAAGAGTACAGCTAGGGACATTGTCAAGCAAGGCCTAAAGGAGGGACTATTCAGTTGACAGCACCTCAAGCGATTGTGCCAAGTTTGAGCACAGGATCTTGCACTTGCGATCTCCCTGTGCCACGTGTCCGATGCCTGTCGAGGATGCTCGCCCGCAACCAGTTGCTAGTGCAGTAGAATCCGCGGGGATTTGCTATGCGCGATAAGGTTAGATTTTATCTGTGTAAAAAAATATTACGAACGCTTTGAGAAACTGACATGGTTCCATCGGCGGTGTTTTTGCTTCAAGGAAAAATCCGGGCCTGAAGAATTCGAATTGGGCTTTGAGGCATGCTTGCGGGGCCCTGTACGACACGATGCGTTAAGTAAAGCTAAGCTATAAGTGCTCAACTTCCCACATCAGGCGCCAAGCTGGCGGCAGGGCTTCAGCTTGTACCAGGGTGGGAGGGGCATAGATACAAGGCATCTCTAGGAGTCCCCCTTTATCACTCCGACTGACAAAAGTACCGATTGACAACCAATGTCACTGAAACCCTGGCGAACCTTGCTGGCCTCTTCAAAAATTTAACTGCCTTATTTGGATCCGCCGTCCGGCGATCCGATCCGGGGAAACAAGCTGACGCATTGCGTAATCCGCAAGCATTCCGAAAATCCGCTTCAACCCATGAATCAGCCAAGGAGTACAACTTGAAAGGACGAGGGGGCAGGGCTGCATCCATTTTGTGATGTTACAGAATCTGGCCCCCACCTACAACAATCACACATCCTTTCAATCCGTAAACCCGCCAATCCATGCACCCGCTATCCGGCAATCCGGGACAAGGATTGCGGAGTAGTTGAACAGCCCATTCTTGCTGTCCAGCCACGGACTCGCGCTTCTATCATGAAACCCTTGTGGGAGTCGGGACCGATTGCTTTTGTCTTCGTCGCGTCCGGACTCCTGGCTCAGCTATTGTTTCACGGGTATACAAAGCTCGTGTGCGCCGTGCCTTATTGATGTACTCCAGCATCATAACTATTCTCCACAGCACCAGCACCAGCACCGCTACCACGGAGGACGTCCGACGCGGACCACAACAAAAAGGAAGACAAAGACGACGACGACGACGACGACGCCGCTGCCGCCGCCAACGACGACCATAACAGCGACAACGACCACGGCGGCAGCGGCAGCGAGGGCGACGGGGACGGGGACGACCACGACCACGTCTACGACCACTACAGAAGAGGACACCCACGAGGACGACCACAACAACCAGGAGGACCACGAGGACCACCACAACCCCGACCCGACCACGGCTGCTTGCCGCCGCGACAGATAACGTACTTCAACAACTGCCCATCACAAGGCCCCCGCATTTACCAAGACCACCAACACCGCCGCCGTCGCCACCACGACAGCAAATATTCTCATAGCATCGACAGAGCCTACGCCACAGAACACACCATCATGAAAGCTCCTGGACAAGAAGTCTTTGTATTTGGGAAGTCTACTCTACCCTTGACCCTCGAACTCCCCTTTGGCATCTCCTAGCAAAGTAGATACCGCCACCGCACCAGCCGGATCGACCAGGCAGAAAACCGTCCCGTAAGATCCTTAGTCATAGGCGGAGGGCAGGGGTGTAGACTCACAAGAATAAAGTTCCTCCAAATGCTTCTTTTTGGCCTTGCTAACGCATACGTCCCCCGACATCCCCCTTCCTCCCTTTACCCCCCCTATGACTCAGCGCATGGGACAAGCTAGGCTTTATTTCCGGCGTCTCCTTGAGCTACGGCTGATGACTTCAAAGGCTTCAGTTTCAGGTTTTGGTAGGTCTGAGCATGTGGAAGCAAATCCAGTCCGAAATTCGAATAAACAGACATCATGAACTCTAAGCCCGGAGTCCTGAACCTCCCGAACACCTTGACCCATTTTCCTATAAACCACCTTACATCCAGGTACCGATACAACGCCCACGACCTTGAAAACAGGAAAGCTTCTCAACACAGACGCTTTGAATGCAGAAAGACTACAATTGCTTGTTGAGTCCTTGCTTCCGGATTCACGCAGGAGTGGTTCAAAACCTCATATGGGACTTTCTCAAGATTTCCCTCTAGAACTCTTAGCAAGGCTTAGTAGGGACCACATAGGTACCCAAGCCCCACCCCCCCTGTTAATCTCTTCTTTGCGGTTACATCAGGAAAGAGTAAATCATGCTGAAGCACCATTCCAACATACTATGTACAAAAACAACCAAGCTGGATATATAGCATTGTTTTATAATGGGCCTTTTACATGCCTCATTCAGCATACTCCTCTTTGATGAACCTCACTGCAGTGCCCAGCATCTTTGGGCCGATGTCACAGCCAGTCTGCGAGATGTTGTGTGCTTGAGGATTTGGGCCAAGGATATACTGCGAAGCTAGGGATTTCTTTGGCGGCAGCAACGGCACCAATAGAGTTGAAATCCGTGACTCTGGGTCTTGTAGCTGCTAGGCTCCGTTGCATCTATGGTCATTCGGCTGCTTCCTGCTCTGGGATAGGCATGAGTCAAAGTTAAGGTCGCCTTATACATCCCACATCCGACATCCCACCAGCAAATGCAGCTATTGTTGCAGGGAGGGAACCAAAAATTGAAAGCGTGCTTGTGAGAAACTTCTTCTGCAGGCCCTGCATCAATGCACGTGTGCAGCAGGACAAGAGTACGCCTGCTCAAGAAATGGAAGTCTTGTGAGCCGATGCTGGGTCGCATGTAAATCCATCTGCTGCAGTACAAGGTCCAGGGCAATTACATAGCTACTTGAAAGCGGCAGCAAGACAAGATTTTCCTGCCTGCTTCCTGAAGTGATGCCCGACGATAGTGACTAGTGTCTCGTCTGCCCTTGGTAACTTTAATACACAAGAGAAAACAGTGCTCGACCCCAGCCTGGTGGTAAACAGTGATGACCTCACCACCCGCAGCCCGATTCCTGGGCAGCTGGAAGGTTAGGGTTTCTTGAAGGGCGTAGGCCTTCAGGTGTAGGGTTCAGGTTCACACGATGGCCGCGCGGTTGTTGCAGCTGCTGCTGCTGCTGCTGCTGCTGCTGCTGCTGCTGCTGCTGCTGCTGCTGCTGCTGCTGCTGCTGTAAATGTTTTTGTTGTTTCTGCTGTTGGTGATGGGGTGTTGTTACTGCTGTTGCTGGCTCTGTTGCTGGTGCTGTTGCTTCTTGCTGATTGCTGCATGCTGCTGCCTGCTCCTTGTTCTCCTCCTTCTGCTGCTCCTCCTCCTCCTGTTGCTGCTGCTGCCGCGTTTTCTAGCGCTATTTTGTGAATTAGAAGTTCCGCATCGCAGGCAGCTGTGGCACCTATGAGTGTCCTGGGCCTTGCAGCTGGACCTTCAGAAGAACCTAACGCATCACTTTAGAGTACTGCAGGCCTTGCCAGGCGAAAGCCTATTTAGAGTGATGATGAAGTTGCTCCTGGAGCTCAACCCTCCTCTCTTTGTTCGTCATGTGCTGCAAGAATTCTCAAACATGTCTGCAGCTGCTTCAGGCAGCCGACTTCACTAAGGGTGGAAGAGGTCTGCCTTTCTTTGGGCAAATTACTGCAAGAAAGATGAGGAGACCTTGCAAAAAACGCTACGCGCGCAGTGCTCCTTCCAACCCACGGCTGGCTTTGACAAGAGAACCTATTTTGGGGCGGGCCTGTTCACTCCAGCACGGCACCCTGCACCTGCAAATGGATATGATGCAGCCTATGCAGCTCCCTCCGTAAGATGCGCACAGGCTTACAACTGAAATCGAGCGTCGAGCAATCAGCATTGCCCGTTGCCCCAGGCTGGTTCGACGCAGGCTCTTGGCTAGCGTGGCTTGTCATCACGCAGGTGTGCCAATGGATCACCTGGGATCTTAAAAGCACTTGTGCTTTAAAAATTCATGGCGAGTCGTCCGTTTTTCAAGAAGTTCCCAGTAACTCAAGTGCAGAATCACAAGCACTTGCGAGCATAAAGCATGTTCTGACGCTTCTTTTGAAGCCATGCCATGATGAAAGCTGACGCCTCCGCCTGTACATAGCATGCCAACCAAATCTCCAGAGTCCTGAATTCTTAAGCTCGCTGAAAAAACCCGGGACTCGAAGAGCGAGTTGTAGAACAGGCGCAGAACACTCACATTGGACTTCTTTATTAAGCGACGCACCACTTGATCTCTGTTCACCAAGTCTATTACAGGAACCACCGCTCTTTGTGGAAAACTATATGCCCTCCTTGTATGACCCCTGAGGATCCCTGCGAAAACGCCGGGGTGACGTAAGGAATGGGTGATCTGAGCTCAAGGATAGCTTTTGTGACGTGTTAGGACCTAGGAAGAACCGTACAGATCCGTTCCCCTATTTCCTACCAAGGACAAGGAGAGTAAGGCAGCAAAGCAACCGGCCACCACTTCACCGATCGGCACTCAGGTGGGTCATGGTGCGCACGCCATCGGCAGCAGGCGTTGCCCGGGCCGCAATAGTTGGAGCACGAGCCTCTGTTATGTGCATGCATATCCTCTGATCTTGTCCTGATTGCATAGCTGGACCTTCTTTTTGCATCCTGGCACTTATGTAGATGGATGCCAGATGCAAAGCTAACCTGAGGCTGGAAATATGGCCGTGGAGGTTCCCACCGCTTTGAAAATGTCTCTGGGTCCGTCTGATTGAGAAAGCGACCCCTCAGCCTCGGCGTTTGGGTCAGTGTGGGCAGCTGGCCAAACTCAAGCTTCCTGCCTCTCCAAATATTTGGTGCCACGTCGTTTGACTTTCCGAAGCAGCCCAGAATACAGAAAGCGATCACGAATTAAACCCGAACTGTGTGCAATCTCTACCTTATCTTACGCTGGTAACCACATGATTACAAAACTCCGTCAAAGAGCAAGCACCCATCAACCCCAACAGCCAAAACAAAATGTATGTACGCGAACACACGTAAAGGAAACGTGAATTCAAACAAGAACGAAGGAGGGCAAACAACTGTAACTACTTTGAACTGCAAACCCTGGACCTCAAACTTCATGCTGCCAGGAACCTGCGCCGTGACAGCGGTACCAACAATTTGCCCCCATGTGCCGAATGCGGCCACCTCCAAACAAGACCCGGTGTCACAGGAGCTTCTTTCGGGAAATTCCTTAACCCGTGACCTTACCCGTACAGGTGATATCCTCCTATCTCCACCCTGTGTAAGGTCAAGGTAGTGCGAAGGTTTCCATGGGCCCGGATTCTTCCAACATCAGTTAACAATCGTGTGAGCCTGGCATAATTTGGGGTCGACAATGTTAATAATCCGTCCGACCCAGAAACCTGGGCTTTATACCACTTACTACTTGCAATTACAGAGAGCACTTCCGTGAAAAATCTATGCCCCACCCAGCCACAATTAAGATCCGGCAATTTGGAGCTCTTCGGCAGCAGTAGACAAAGAATTAGTAGCAGTCGTCGTATTAGTAGTACTGCTGCTGCTGCTGCTATCGCTACCGCTACTGCCACCGAAGCTTGAATGTCCTAACCCCCGCGACAACGTTTTAGGCCTCCCTTCCCAGCTTCGACCCCTCACTCTTTTGTCCAAACTCCGGAATGGCAAGCCCCACGCCCTAAGCCACTCTCCTCCCCACGGGCGTCAGCCTCCTAACTCATCCTCTTCTTCTTCCGGCCCCGCACCCAGTAGGTCAGGTGAGTCAGCCTTCGGCGGCATCTCCTAGGTCTCCAGCTCCACTACATATCATGGAAGGCTTGTGTTTGGGTCTAGGACTTTCCCACTTGCCTAGCTGCATCAGGGTTTTATGGCACTGAACCACTAATTTGAAAATTTAATTTGGAAACTGGCACGGAAGCCATGCGGCTGCAACAACCAACCAGAATGCCGCCGACACCCCAAGACCTAGCTACAATCACATCTGCAACAAGATGACCAAGCCGAAGCACGGCAATAGCCCATCAAAAGTTACTTAGCACGCTGAGGGGGAAGGATCAATCAGAATCGCCGAGTGTCTGGGCACAGCGGGTCGCAGTCCTCACGGGACTTCACACTAGCAGTGTTCGAGCTACACAAGCCGGACTCTGAATGCACCTAGCTTTGCCCTGAACCCTAGGCCCTAGAACCAGTCTACATAATCTCTGAAAAAACAATAGGAAGCACACCAAACTGCAAAAAAAGAACACGCGACAAGCCTAAACCCGGAGTCCATACACATGTTGACCCTGAAGCCCTGGTGGTCCAGCCATTTTGGTGAACCCGGAGGCAGGATATCCGAGGCGTTCATAGGATCGTCTTTGCCCCGGCGATGCTGCAGGGCCTCAGTCTCTGTCACAACTCCTCGAGTTTAGGAGTCAGGTGTCACGTGCAAATGAGCTGCTGAGCTCTATCTAGATTCATTAAGACCCACTGTCCTGAATTCTAGCTGCCCCGTGTTCCTTGGTACATCCTGAGGCTGCATGGGGCCCCGAGGCCACCCTGATTAAGGACCCTGTGTGCAACCACAAGCACTCTCTCCCCCAACCTCTAGCACAGATTAAGCCGGAAACCCTAAACGCTAATCCCCTCTCAATCTCAATCCGATGCAACCCCAAAGCCTGAAAGATCCATGGAGGCACTTCTCCATCCTGGCAATCCGCAAGACAAATGCTCTGAAGCCTGGAATCCCTAAAGCCGAAAGCATAAATCCTAAACCCCAAACCCTTGGTAACCCCATTATAGTAGCTTCCATTTTCTCTTCCATTATCCCTATATTACCTATATGACCCCCAAGCCAGATCTGAGGGGCATTGAGGGCGCAGGTGCCCTCTTCACCGCACTCGTCATTGCTTTCCAGGGCCTCTGACAAGCTCTCGCCACTGCAAAGCCTCATGGAGTCTCCGTTTAGGGCTTACCCTTCTTGGCTTGGATGTAGGGTTCTTTGGACAGGCTCCTTAGGGTCCATGATTGCGGAAACTAGGCTTGTGACATGTGTTCCACAAGCTTACTATGCAGAAATCTGTGCTGGGCCGTATACCTCAGAACCCGATACCTTAACAGCCACAATCGAACACGCAAACTGCAAACCTCTTCTGCACTGGCCGCGCCTCGCACACCCCGAACAATACACGCTGAACCACACTGGCTGCAAGCAAGTGGCGGCATTATCAGGGCCAGAGCCCCCAGGAGCATCGGCCGCCACATGCCCTTACTTTGTAAGCTTCAAGGTTTGTGGTAAAGAGCCACAACAGGGTTGCAGGGTTGCATAAGGTTTTTAGTCTTGGGGAGTACACGGATCGATCCATGAGGTAGAGGCATGTCATATGCTGTTCTGCTGGGTTGCTGAATTAAGTGTCACAGTCAGCTCCTATCACATGGGGGTATAAAGCTCTGGGGGCTCAAGGTCGAGGGGCCTCTCAAAGCTTAAGAGGTAGCTCTAGGGAGCCTAGGGGCATGCACGTCAGGATTAGGAGAGGGCGCTATGATTCCCATCTCCACTAAACTCTGTGCATCAACCTGGAGGCCTTTACCTTACGTCTTACGTGCCCGAACATCCAGGATCCAACAAGCCAGTGTGGACAGAACCTCATGGGCTGTTTTTGTCATAGAAGCCAAGCCTACAATGCGCGCCATGGTGTTTTTGCAGGCCTTGACTTGTTAAAGAAAACCCAGAAAACAGTACCTTTCTCGAGCACTTGCGGCAAGCTAGGCGTCCAGAAACCTCACCTTGGCTCTCAAGTCTAACTCGGACGCAAGCGATCCTGGGAAGCAGTGGTGTATGTCTGATGCTGGAGGTTTGACGCGAAGATTCCTGGTAGCTTTCTTTAGCTGTTGATTCTGGCGCCTGAGTCCCAACAAAAAACATAAAGCATTCCCAAGGCTGATCCCAAGTGGCTGTATGAAAATAACGCTGCAACAAGAAAGAAAGAGGAGTGTAGTGGCTGTCGATTGCTGCCACTGTTTTGAGCAAAATGGGTCTGCGGCATCCACACTGGCAGGTGCCAAAACTAGCGACTATAATGCTGATGCATCATGCCCTTCCACTGCAGGAATCCGCTCCGGAGACTGTCATGATGGTCGACAGTTCGCCTGGAACATTGGTTGGCCTCATACACTACTACACACTACGTAGCCACTACATGACTTCATCATAGTCATAGCTTATATGTTGAGACATCGCAAATGGAAGAGGGCGTCGCCTGCAATTGGCGCAAATGGCGTTTTCTAGATTTTGCGTAGCTGTACCCGCAAGACTGCATTGAGCCCAAACGAAAGGGCACTACATCGTAATTTCCTACCCCGCCAGGTAAACCTGAAAGCAAGGAGATGGCGCACACCAGCACCTTGCTCCATTGAGTTCTACGCAGCAGCATAACTGGCACTTGTTCCGTCTTGCAGGGGTCACCAGTTGGTTGTTGGCCTAGCAATCAAATTCCGACCGGCTACCTTAAGGATCGCCAATCGCTCGTGTATGAGCCAAGGAGCCTGTCTACGGTCTTGGAACCCTACGCCAATACCAGATTCGTGACCGTACACCCACTTGTACGTATATGAAAACCTGCCTGACGCCTCCTTGCTGCTAAGCGACAGTACATGCCGAGCTGTGCGTCAAAGCTGTGAAAATCACGCGGCAATGGCTGGCCTGAGGTCCTTGGACAGATAATGTGAGCATGAAAACCGATATATACATATATATATATGTATATATACATATATTAGTTTGGCCTTGTAACAGTGTATCTACGAGGAAATCTTTGTGGTCCTCCTCTTCCTCCCAGCAGTATCACTAGCAGTGGAAGTGGGTAGTAGCAACTAGTAACATAGCAGTATCGGTAGCCGTAGCAGTAGCCGAGGCACTGGCAATGGTAGTACCAAAGGCGGGGTTGTCACACATCAGTCGGTGAGAACATGCATTTCCCCATGTAGAGGCTGTATCAGGGAAAATATGCACCATTGGGGAAGTTATACATCACGGGATGCAAATCCCAGAAAGACGCTGTGTTTTGAAGAGCCGGAAAGGTGAAAAACATGCCGCTTTCGTCGGCAACGTTTGCACTACGTTTCACAAGCATTTTTGGCCATCTCACATCAGCAACTCTCCAAGAAGACGCTGTGTTTGGAAGAGCCGGGAAGAGTGTGCAGACATGTCGCCTACCAGGGGATTTTGCACGGATAGTGATTCCAGAAGGAAACACCGGACATGTGAGTGCCAGGGCTCAACACCCTTTCAAGAAACCCACCATAACAACGCTAGTAGACCCCAAGATGCCACGTTTAAACACCAAACTGCATGTAGACACAGTCATAACCAACATGTTCTTCCATTATGTTGTGAAGCAGTGGCCAAGCCCAAGGCATGGTTTCCCCAAGTAGAAGCTCAATCGATACATGTAAAAGCTGGCCGATGTAAGATAACCCCGCCACTAGAACGTAGCAATTGCAGTAGCAGTAGCGGCAGCCGGCAGCCGTAGTAGCAGCAGTAGCAGTGGCAGAAGAAGTAATAGTAGCAGCAACAACAGCAGTAGAGCAGTAGTAGTGTGGAGGAGGAGGAGCTGTGGGCAGTGCGAGCAGAAGCAGTAGTAATTAGTAGTAGGGGTCCTCCCGGCGTCGTCCCCGTCGTATTTCTAGAAATACTATGAATGCAGCAACAGCAACAACAACTATTCGTCCTGCTGCTGCTGCGACGACTACTACTACTCCTTCAAACTACAGTCGAGGCTTTTTTGTTCGAAAACAGCTACACGACCGAGATTTTGGCCAAAATTACCGTGCCACTCATTATTAGCACCGCCGCCACCAACCACCACTAGCAGCCACTAGCACCGTCACGAGTATTTCCGACAGCACGACGACGACAACGGTGGCTGCCGCTGATCAGTGTCTACCCTCCGGTTATAGCCCACATGTCGCACTGTTCTTCCTGTATTTTGGCATCCTTAGGAAAGTGATATCTAACAACTTTCTTAGAAGCCAGCATGCCATCTGCAATCCCTAAGCCGGGCTGTTGAAGTGAGATTCCTACCTAGAACTCTACACTCCACAGGGTAGGAGGCACAGAGGGTGACTCAGTGCACACCCATGAAAAGCCATGTACTGAAGCTCATGAACTGTTTATACAAGATCCTCCTCCCTTATGAAACAACCCGAGGAACCTGTGGGCGGCTGTTGAAATTCTGTCATGCTAGCCATGCCTCGGGCTTAGTCGGCCAAGTTACCGTGAGGATTAACCGAGTCAGATGCCTCGACTACGTCTGAAGATGCCTACAGCTTTCCAATGCAGCGTATGGCTTATGCAAGCCAGGCCACAGCAGTTTGAGGAGGTACGCCAGGTCATATGCACCTGCAGATTGAGCGGTCGCAGTAGCTGCTAACACGAGATGGTGCATTAACATGCGAGGGTCATATCAGTTCGGGTGTTTTCAGCACTTGAACTTTGTACCGCTGCAACCATCAGCATATGAGCTACGGTCAATATTTCTTATATGCGTCCGTGCTCCTCGTTCCCGCACCCCCTCAGGCAGGCTATGATCCCCATTTGGGGATACATAATGCTAAATCTATGAAGCCCACGAACCACGAACGCTCCGCAAACCTCGGGAATAATTAATCCATACCACAGGATGCAGACACAGGCGGGGAGGTACCCCCGTATCTATAAACCCTTTAGAAGCCCTTCGAAAACCGTCTAGAAAACTTCTTCAATCCTCCATAATTTTTCATGAGACTTTTCCAAAAACCCATGAACCTTTTGTAAACCTCCCATACGCCTTTTGAAGCCCCTGGTACCCGCTTTGGATTTCTTTTATCCTGAGGGACCCACAAGCACCAAGCAGGGTAAATATGGGCAAGAAGCTACAAGGATTGAATGGTCCCGCCTTGGAAAGTGACCCACGAAGGCGCTCTTGCTCCCACCAGGGAGGATTCCGCGAATTTCCGGCCAAGGACGACTGAGGCAGGCGGGGTGTGTGTCTTATTTGACCCGTCTACATGGAAAAAGGGTGTCGAATGCCGCTTGCTTGCCATCTTGAAGGAGGCGCAGGTCCACTGTGCTAGAGTAAGCAACCACCGATGCCTAAACCAATCAGCTACAAAGAGTGAATGCTGCTTGCACTAAAGATAAACCAAATGTCCTTCAGCATCTTACACGCTTTATGTAGCAGTCCTCACATCGGCCCACATCCCCGCAAGATCTTGCAAGAACTTAAGCACGAAGCCGCAAAGAGCATAATTCTGTCATCTGGAGGCCTGGATCGATGCCCTCCGTCTTGTGCCGAGGGAAATCCAGGCCAGCCTCGGAAAAGAATGGTCCCAAAGTCCACACTGTGTCAAACTGTGGTAGAGATGCTTGTGGCATTCTACTGGGATAACCTCATTCGCGCTTTCTTCAGGCCTGAACTGCGCGAAGTTTATGGGTGATAGGATTTACGGCTCGGAAGACAACTAGCAGGCAAGCTGTGCACACGAATTGCCCACTGACTCCAATCGCCTCGCCGCTGCTTAGGTTCCAAGCCCCTGCACCATAGATCTCATTGCCATGCGTGTACGGAGGTCGAAGCATTCAAGAGGCCAAGGGATGTTAAATCCTCAACAACCCTAAACCTGACGTTCTTCACCCTGAACCCCTCAGCTGAATGGCAAAGCCTAAGTCCGCACACCAAGTAACCTACAATCTACATGCCTAAACCAGGTCTCCCCGCTGCACGGAGGAATTCCATCGACTTCACCGTATGAAGATCCACCTCAGCCCCGCGGATTTTAGAGGTTTGGTACTTTCTTACACAAATGGCGTCAAATCGGACTTCCGGTGATGTGGCATTGCATTCTAAACTGCCGTAGAAGCAACAATTCTCAATACTCCTATCTGCAGGGATTAGTGGCCTTGGAAGCT